GTTCGGAGCAGAGGCTATGTCGTGTACATGCCAACTGAACTGTACCTGTGGGATCACAATTTTCGTGTGAGAGGCTAGCAGCGACCATCCCTTCATAGTGTTCGGAGCAGAGGCTATGTCGTGTACATGCCAACTGAATTGTACCTGTGCGACGACACAACGGGAGGCACAGCCATCATCTTGTGGAGAGGTCCTTTCACTATTTGTGGTGGAATCCGCAGGATTGCTCTCCGGGGGGTGCAGTGCTTGCAAATGCTCATCGACATACTGTTCCTGATGGATGAGCCTGACTGAGTGACCCTCCAGCATTTGGTGATAGAGTTAATATTCCCCACTGTGTGCACCCTACCGCCATTGTCCCATAGTGTCCATGAATTATCTGCAAAGGTAAGAGCACTGAAGTGACCTGGACGATAAAAGATATATGCCCGAATATTTGGATCCGTGCCTGGCTTGCGGTTTTGCGGAGCAGGCTGGAATTGCAGTCGCCTACCCATAAATGCCATAGCCAGGACTTCTATGTTCACCCCAGGCGCAGCGCTGTCGTCGTCTGGGTAGACGGCACGGTGCTCTTCTTCTATCCAGCGAACAACGTCTGCGAAATGAGCAACAGTGTAAGGATTACAATTGTAAGCAAGGAGACATACATTAATGGCATAGTACGCACAGCACCCTCGCTGTAGCGCTATGACATTGTCTGATTCCGCAGGTTGCGTGAGGGATCCGTTTACGGCAGGGGGATCCTCGTTCGATTCTGCAGGTTGCCCAGGTGGCAGAGACTCGTTGTGGTCTTGACCAATTGGCTCCGGTATGTGCTCCGGAGAGAGATGATCTTCAACCGGGGGCTCCGTCAGGTAATCAAGAGACGGGCCATTGTCGTTTGGGGCAGGGGAGTGAGTGGGCCTAGGTGGATGAGAGAGGGGCGGGTCAGGTGGGTAAGAACTGGGTGAACCAGATGTGAGAATTGGACGCTGATCAGCCTCACTTGTGCTTAGGGCGGCTGCTAGTCGTGCAAACGCTGCACAAGTAGCTGCACCTCGTGTCTGGTGCACTCGTAAGCCTGCAGCATTGAAGAAATCATCGCCGCATTGCGGGCATCCGACTCGATGTGCACTATTCCTCGCTAGTGTATACTGAAAGCGACGATGTCGTTCCGTACGGTTGCGAGCATGTCGTCGGAGCAGATCTCTAACCCCTGCAGAGGGCGCGCTGATCATGTCATTCAACGACAAATGAGGCCGTTGTCTTGGAGGCTTCTGTAGAGATGGGGAACGTCTCCGCCGAAGAGGAATCTGTAATGATCGATCTAACAACGGATACCTCGGCCAACAGGGCCTTTGTGACGGCTGATCTGACCATGAGTGCGTTGATSATGAGGAGGTCGATGATGAGGAAGTAGAGGAAGAAGCAGGGGAAGAGGAAGAAGAAGATGATGATGCAGATGACTGAGAGGATGCTGCAATAGAGGACGTCGGTGGGGGTGACAGTGATGATGGTGGTGGTGCTGCTGATAATGATGGCAGTGGTGGTGGTTTTGGTGCGCGTGGTGGTGGTGGTGGTGGAGACGGCGGTGGCAGCAGTGGCAGAGGAGGTGGTGTACCTTCCGCAGCAGCAACAACAACAACGACAACAACAACAACAACAATTGTTGTATTGGTAGGATGCTGGCCTTCATCCCTTACTGCCATTTCGGTAACGTTCACATTGTTTACTGCGGTTGGCATGATCTCTGGATGAGTTGGCGTATCAACATTAGCGTCTGCCATTTCAGCACGGATATTAGGGGGGGGCGGGCCGTCTACATT